GGAGCAGTCTGCGTTAGCATGCCTCACCTTTCCTGACGGGCCTGGGCCCATGGGGTCCTTGGAGGTGTGAATGCAGCATGGGGCTTTTCCGCACTCACAGCCTGTTCACCGTTCCTTCACACACACACACACACACACAACTACTATTCCTCTCTCCCTCAGTGCCCAGACTTTTCAAACGGTGTGGAGCTGGGGGACAGCCCCACACTGCTGGAGGCAGCCTCGCTCATCTGGCAGATGCCCCCCCCATCCTACCCTGTTCAGGGTGTCTTGTGCAGGGCTGGTCATCTGATGGGACGAAAATCCCCCCCCCCCCCCGCAAGGTCTGCAGGCGTCCTGACGGGAGTTCTGAGGACAAGCCCCCCTGCTGCCGGCTCTCAAGGCCTGGGCCCCAGAACCACTGCATCCAGAAGAGGGAGGAAGGAAATTGCTGTGTGAGGGGCAGGGTGCACAGCTCCTGGCAGGAGCCGCAGGTATACCAGCGTCCTCCTGAGCTCCTCCAGACTCACCAGGAATGAGGAGAAGCTGGCAGACCGCTCCTTTGTCTGACATGTGATCAGCACAGTTCTGTGCCTTGGTCTCAGACGACTAGGTATCCACCTGCCCGTCCCACCTCTCTGTCTAACAACTGCTCCAAAGAAGGTGTCTCTGCCCACGGCTGGGCGTCGCAGCTCTCCCGGCTCTGGACACTCAGGCGTCCACAGCCATACAGTATCTTTCCTGCCTGGTTTCTCTGAAGACTGGGCACTTCCGCCTTGTGGGGGTCAGCAAAGCGCCGTCCAGAGACAGACTCATAAGCAGCGTCGAGTGGCCACCGTCATTCGTCAGCTTGAGCGCCAGCTGCGGGCAGGGCCTGTCCCCCTCAACCCCAGCGCGTTCTCTTGCTGGCTGACGGGACTCCTGCTAGCAGTGTGTGTCTGTGGACTGGGAAGTTTGCCTAAATCTGGCCATCTCTGCCAGCTGCAGCCCGCTTCACTCATGGTGTGGACCCAGACAGCCGCCCACCATGAGCACAGCCGCGTGAGCCCAGACAGCCGCGTGGGCCTGGACAGTCGTGTGGGCCTGGACAGCCGCGTGGGCCTGGACAGTCGTGTGGGCCTGGACAGTCGTGTGGGCCTGGACAGCCGCGTGGGCCTGGACAGTCGTGTGGGCGCCTGGACAGCCGCGTGGGCCTGGACAGTCGTGTGGGCCCGGACAGCCACGTGAGCCCAGACAGCTGCGTGGGCCTGGACAGCTGCGTGGGCCTAGACAGCCACGTGGGCCTGGACAGCCGCGTGGACCTGGACAGCTGCGTGGACCTGGACAGCCACGTGGGCCTGGACAGTCGTGTGGGCCTGGACAGTCGTGTGGGCCTAGACAGCCGCGTGGGCCTGGACAGCCGCGTGGACCTGGACAGTCGTGTGGGCCTAGACAGCCGCGTGGGCCTGGACAGCTGCATGGACCTGGACAGCCGCGTGGGCCTGGACAGCCACGTGGGCCTGGACAGTCACATGGGCCCAGACAGCTGCCCATGGTGAGCACAGGAATCTGCTCATTCACTCTTCACTTAGAACCTAGATTCTCCTAATGGCATGTTCAACGTCAGTGTACCCCAAAATTTCCACTGGGCTGTGCCGCACATGGGCATACAAGCTGGTGTGGTTCAAGTAGTAGAGCACCAGCCAAGCAGGCAAGTGGACCTGGTGAGTGAAGCCTGAGTTCAAAGGCCGTTCCCGGGCAGGGAGGGGCAGGAGAGAATTATAGGCCAATTTCTTTTATGAGCATAGACATAAAACCCTCAAACAAAATACTTGTAAACTGAACTCCTAACACATTTAAAAGATGGTACACAGCTGAATGCCTGTAACTCTAGATACTCAGAGATTTCAAGATATGTGCACCTTGGTTTAGTGCCAGTCCTGGCAGATGAACCCAAGAGACTCAAACTCCAATGAACCAGCAAAATATGAGAATGTAGGTGTGGCTCAAGTGGGACAGTGCCAGCCCTGAGCAAACAGCCTGGCGAGAGCTCTGCGTGATCTGCTGTGAACACCTGTAGAACCGGGGAAGCTGAAGCCAGATTCAATAAGGCTTCTTAATGGCCTTTCATTTTACAGCAGCAAGTTCAGAGGGGTTGCAAGCAAAAAGGGCTCCTGACCCCAGCATGGGCCGCAGCATGGGTCCTGACCACTCCAGAGTCCCAGGTGGCTCGTACAGTAGTAAACCAAAGCCTTAAGCTCACAGGACCTCTGAAACAAAGGGTTTATTGATTCATCATGGATCCCAGCTCAGAGATCCACCTGGGCCAGCCTGGGGCATTCTGCAGCAACCAGCAGCCGGGCAACAGCAGCGGACGGACGCCTGCAGAGCCAGAGGCAGGGCCAAGCCCCATTTCTAGGGAGCCCCGGGGAGGGAGGGCATACGTTGGCTATCTGGGGACTCAGTGACCCAACGGTCACTCACAGAGGACCAGCGCAAGAGAGCGCTGCAACTCTGGGCTGTCTGCATGAGTAGCCGTCAGCCATGGCCTCCAGCTGGTCCAGCACACCCTAGAAGAGGTGCTGTCCTGCAGCTGGCTTTCCTCTTCCGCTTCCGGCCTTTGAAACTTAGAGGGCCGGAGAAATGTTCTTCTGTCCACACTCAGCACGTCAGCTGCTCCATCTGAGTGCTGCTTGGGGCAGCCTCCACAGGGGGAGGTGGGCCGTCCGCTTCTCTAGGAAGCGGGAAGCAGGCAGCAGGTCTAAATGTACAATATGGCACTTAAACAGCTTGGCCTGGGCCAAGGTGGCAGACCCTGCTCATGGAGGAATGAGTCAATCCATTTAAAACTCACCTGGTGCTATGACACACATACCAGAACTCGGAAGGCGGGAACAAGGAAGAGCTTGAGTTTGGGGCCAACCTGGGCTCTTTTAAAAAACCACTGTCTTTAAAGACTGCCTTTAAGACTGTCTTTAAAATAAAAGGTTTTCGAGCTGGGTGCCTTTGTCTCATGCCTGTAATCCTAGCTACTCAGGAGGCTGAGATCTGAGGATCACAGTTCAAAGCCAGACTGGGCAAGAAAAGTCCATGAGACTCCGATCTCCAATAAACCACCAGAAAACTGGAAGTGGTGCTGTGGCTCAAGTGGTAGAGTGTTCACCCTGAGCTGAAGAGCTGAGGACAGCACCCAGGCCCAGAGTTCAAGACCCACGACCGACCAAAAAAAGAAAAAGAAATTGCAGTACTGAAGGGTTTTGACAGGTGTGTGAGGCAGGAGACAGTAGCTTGGCTACTGTGAAGACTGCAGCAATGAGTGTGGATGTGTCTTTCTGGTGTCCTGGCTTGTGATATTCGGAGTAGATGCCAAGGAGTAAATGGCTGGGTCCTAAGGAAGATCTGTGTTTGGTGTTTTGAAGACCATATCGTGATTTAAAGACGGTCGATGGCAGCTTGCGTGGCTCTCCTCAGTGGAGCTGCCGGCCCTCTGCATCGGGCCTGGTGGCCACCTGTCACCCGACTGTACACTGGCCAGCTCCGGGGGCTGGGCCTGGCCCGGAGGGCGTGGACCCATCCCTGGGACGCCGGGCAGGGCCCTTCCTCTCTCCTGGGCGCAGAGCTAACGCTGGTGGGCGGCGGGGTGGTGGCAGCCCAGCCTCGCTGAGTGGCAGGGCTCTGAGGCAGGCCTGCCCCTCCTCAGCCCAGCTCCGGGTGGGCGGAGCCCCGCAGAGATGGCAGGTGTGCAGCCGTATGCCGGGCACAGGCTTCCTCCGGCTCTCCCCGAAGGTGGCTGCAGGCCTCGGTGAGCGCCAGGGGCATTGTCCTGGGGGCTGACCTGTCTGTCTGTGCTGTGTAGGGAGGGGTCCTGTCCCAGGTGGGCGTCTGTCCTACACAGGAGGCTCTCTAGATAGGAAGGTATGTCCTCCAGGTGTGGGGAGGACAGGCCTGTGGGGGGGAAGCCTGCCCCGTCTCCCTCTTCTTCCCTGGGGCTCAGGCTGAGGGCTTTCAGTGCTACGTTCCTAAATATGGGTCCCCGAGTCCCCGGCCCTGGCTGGTACGTGTTGGTCCCCATGACCCAGCTGCAGGCTAGCGATGTCGACTGGATCCTAGGAGTCCACTTGTGTCCTGAGCACAATGTCCCCCTTTCCCTGAGCTCAGGGACCCACAGTCCCCTGCTCCCCAGGGAGCATCTGGGGGCGCTCACACTGTCAGGGAACGGGCCTGGGGGCGCTCACACTGTCAGGGAACGGGCCTGGGGGCGCTCACACTGTCAGGGAACGGGCCTGGGGGCGCTCACACTGTCAGGGAACGGGTCTGGGGGCGCTCACACTGTCAGGGAACGGGTCTGGGGGCGCTCACACTGTCAGGGAACGGGCCTGGGGGCGCTCACACTGTCAGGGAACGGGTCTGGGGGCGCTCACACTGTCAGGGAACGGGTCTGGGAGCTGACTACTGATGCTCACAGCCGGAGCTCTGGGCGCACACTAGCTAGCTGGCAGTGGCCAGGCGGTGCCGGCAGGGGGGGGGGACAGTAACCCCACTGTACACAAGGGGGTCACAGTCGGGGAGACGGGACATGCGGGGCCCCAGGGCTGAGCAGGGCGTGGCCACCTTCCGGCCCCTGGAAGTCACAGCCTTGGAAATCACATGCCTTGGTCTCTGCCCAGGGCCGGCTCAAAGCAGATTACAAAACACCCAAGGTTAGTGTTTCTACAAGTAACAGCTGCCTTTGTTTAAAAGCCTGAGGTCAGGGCCTCCGCAGCAGCGGGGCGGCCCTGGCGGGGCCTGGGGCGGGGCGCGGAGTCCGGTCCAGGGCTGGGAAGGGCGGTGTGTGGAGTTGAGCCCACGCGTCCCCGGCGCAGGCTTGCAGGCGAGGCCGGTCCAGGGCTGGGAAGGGCGGTGTGTGGAGTTGAGCCCACGCGTCCCCCTGTGCAGGCTCGCAGGCGAGGCCGGTCCAGGGCTGGGAAGGGCGGTGTGTGGAGCTGAGCCCACGCGTCCCCCCGTGCAGGCTCGCAGGCGAGGCCGGTCCAGGGCCGTGCGGCATGAGTCTGTCCTGGAAGGAGCGGGCCTTCCTGGCCCTGCTGGGCGCAGCCACGGCCTCAGGCCTCACGGTACTCATCCTCATCCTGGTGGAGGCCAGCAGTGTCCTCCTGCCAGCAGACACCAAGGTGCAGGGCAGCACCGCGGCGCGGCGGCCGGGGGGTGGGGGGCTGGGACGCAGCCCCTGCAGCCTCCTGACCTCCTGACTTCCATGCCGTCCCTAGTTCGGGATTGTGTTTGATGCCGGTTCCTCCCACACCTCGCTCTTCTTGTACCAGTGGCAAGCGGACAAGAAGAACAACTCGGGTGTCATTAGCCAGGCCCTGGCCTGCCGCGTGGAGGGTCAGTGGGGCAGCGGGGCCTGCTGGGTGGAGGGGCGGCGGGCGGCCTGCTGGGTGGAGGGGTGGTGGGCAGCCTGCTGGGTGGAGGGGCAGTGGGGCCTGCTGGGTGGAGGGTCAGTGGGGTGGCGGGCAGCCTGCTGGGTGGAGGGGCGGTGGGGCCTGCTGGGTGGAGGGTCAGTGGGGTGGTGGAGCCTGCTGTGTGGAGGGGCGGCGGGCGGCCTGCTGGGTGGAGGGGTGGAGGGGCAGCGGGCGGCTGGCTGGGTGGAGGGGCAGCG